CTCACTTCAAAGAGCAACATTTTCTTTTTTATCCTTATCCTTTTATAAGCATGCAAGCNCTATTAAAATAGCTATGACACTTAATATTGGATCTTTAATTATTAGATCTGTTTCTGAGGCGATTTTAGAGGTCTACTTTCTTTCTTTAATATTAAGCTGATACAAATCGCTGCAGTAAGTATCACTAGAGTTCCTCTAAATGTATCATAACAACGGAAACTTTTAAAATAGCTATTATTACGTTAGGTATATCACAGCTTTTTATATGGTTTTCATGCAATATGAAGTAATATATTGATAAATTGGAGCATTAGTATCACCAAAACTTGGTAACTTACACATGAAAAAGAAACTATTAGTAACTATTGAAATTACCGCTATAAATAATTCAACTTATGTTGAAAAATTGCTAAACTCTATAACTTTATCATATGTATCACTTTTTTAGACGCTATATAGTATAACATTGCGCTCATACAAAATAATAACATGTAAATAGCAACATGAATCATATCAACCGCACCAATTGTACAATACAATAACTTATTATTTTAATAAAAGCAGTGACACATGCACATCAACTTTCTTGTCTGGAGTTTTCACTATTAGCTCCAGTTCTGTAAGGTTATTATATTTTATAGCAACTGTTCCCTTGTGATTGTTATCAAAAATTTTTATATTTAATCCAAGTTATAAAATATAGTATCGTCTATTGACGTAATGTCAGCATTTTTATGCTGTTGATTTTTTTGTTTATGCGAACCCCAATCAAATGATTCTTTATCAATGTTTTCTGATTGAAATTTGCCTGGAGGCATCAATGAATCAGGTAAAGATTCTTATTAGCCATCTATTTTACTAAAAGAATTGGCGGTTATTAATCCTGACAGATCCAATCCTAGTTGCTGATCATTTTTCGTATTTCATACTGCACGCCTTCACTTGCCAGTTCTGTTTTGCAATCACTAGTCTGCTTTTCTAAAATCTCTTTGCTAGATATACGTATTCCTGTGCACATGAGCATTTCAGGTTGTACATGATACTGGTTTCCTATAAAAAGGAGCCTATGGTAACTGTACATTATGTAGAATACTAGTGTTTTATATGCTTTATCACTTAAATAGTTACAAATCTCAATTTTAACCTGTTCACTAGTCTTGTACGTTTATCATGCATAGTTAACACTATTCCCTCTATTGCTAGAGAAGGATTTAAATATTTTTTTATCAGCTCCACAGTTTTTATTAGATGACCAGGCCCTCGAGAGCAATTCGCATTGAAGAAGGATGATAATAGAGTCAGCGGCGGTTAATGCATTAATAGTAAGCCGATAACTATATATTCATATTTTTCTTGATTTCCATTAGTGCATTCTTTAGTATAAATTCCCTTTTAAAAGTATATGAGTTCAACGTCTGCTGCAGATAGATCAACTGTTGACGTGATCAGAGTTAAAGATGATATAGATTTATTATTTACAAGTACGTTATATATTTTCGTGCGATTTCTATATTAGAAACCAAGTCTAATACTTGCATTTCCCTGGGGTTCAAGATCTATTAGTAAGGTGTTTTATTTACCGCAGCAAAAGCTGTTGATAAATTTACCTGGCTGTAGTTTTACCTACTCCTCCTTTCCGATTAACTAATGCGAGACTTTACTCAAAGCTTTTACCTTATATGTGCAATAATTCTATTGTATATACAAAGAAAACTTTTGCATCAGAAAGTTTTTTTTCTCTCTAAAGAGAAACATTTTTCTTTTTTTATTCTTATCTCTTTATAAGCATGC